TATCAACATGAAATGAACAAACCTAAGAGAGGTCTACCCAAGGTACATATACACCAAGTATCAAAGCATTCAGGCTTGTAGTTTTCAAGAAGAAGTAGAAAAAGTAAAACATTGACACGGACGACGAACGACGACGACGACGGACAATCACTCATATGATAAGCTCCGCTCGACAAAGTCGACAGTGGAGCTAATAAAAAAATAATAAAAAAAAATATGACCTTTTCTCTTTAGCATTTCTTCAAGACAATTGTAGATGACTTTTGCACCAAGACTAAACCCAATAAGTGTGACCGGGCGATGACCCTAAATACAGAAACAGCATGATATTTGGTTTAAAAAATGTAATGATGCTAAATAAAAAAATATGACAGAATTTTCAACATGAAGTACCATCTACTTTTGAATGTCAATAACACCCAAAATGTTCGAAATGTATTAAAATTACAAAGATCTAGCTGTGATTTTCCGGGATTTTAGAAGTTCTAGAAAATACTTCTCAATTTGGTGTCTATTTAAATGCAATATGTTTTAAAATGTTTTAATGAATTTATTAATAAATTCTCTTAAAGTTGCATCTTATTTTACGTTCTTCCAGTTGATCACATTTTCGTCACTATAAAAATAATCACATATGACGTAGTAGGTACATGAACATGCAAATCTGATTGCCTGTGTAGTCTAGATTATAATACCTGTTGTTTTGACATGATGACATCCGCTAACTGGTGACCGACTTCAGTGGATCTTTGCATCGCTACGCCCCAAGGATTGTCTATGACACTTGCCACTGATAGCAATGTTGCAGGCCACATCAATGCAGCTAAAAGGCCTGATTATAGAGTGGAAAACGAATGGTGATTATTAATATTGAATGTTGTGTAAATAACCTAGTTGATCACCACATGAAATTTATTGTAAACAGTTATTTTTATCACTATCTATTTTCGAGATTAAATAATTTGAGGAGGAAAATGTTGACGTTTCAAAGAAAAAAAACGAAATGTTCATTGCTACAAATTATTGTGATTTGCCAGCCTTGCAAACATTTGTCTCACATAAAATAAAAGTGGTTTACAGTATAAAGATGTGAATAATGTTTTGAAAATCAATTGCTAGACGAATACTGAATTATTTGGATAAGTTCAATCTATGAATGCAACTGACTGGAAAACTTTCAGAATCTGTCACCTTTATAGTTATACTTATAATTTATTTGTCAGAATCAATTAATATAAAATATAGCAATACTCAGCAAAGTCATTCAGAATAACACTTCTTAAACCCAGTAATTGAAAAAAGAATATTCAGTTGAAGCAAAAGATAATCATTCATATAGTCTACTAAAAATTCAGAGATTGCTTAAAGAGGAAGTCATACCTGACAAAACTGTGTATTTTAAAGCTTCTTGTGTTGCTGCGGTAACTAAACCATTCAATAAATACTCCAAAGCTCGGCCTAAATCCAATAAGTATTTGGATTCCCATCTGAGGTAGTACTGTTCATTAGAGATGGCTAAATTGATCCAAGGTGCATGGAAGTTGTCTGTAAAATGTTATATACATTTTATTATAAATATTATAATACACTGAAGCACCACAAAAAAGCCACTTTCGGGTCAAATCATCATCAAATTTTGGAGAGTTGAGGACTCCATATACAGCAGTATGTAGGTAAGCAGTAATATTACCTGGTTGTTCATCACTAAGCCAACCTGATATCGCTATAGCAACATGTAAATTGTTTCCTTGTGAGAGAGGAGCAAACTCAAATTGTTCAATGGCTCCTACTCGTCGTTTCATCTTGTATCCGGTTAACCCAGCACCAGCAGCACCAAATAACGACGTCATTATCGCAATGCCAGCAGTTGTGGTCAGTGCTGCTGCAGCCGACGTCCCTATCACTGCACCTACACCTGCTGCAATCAACGGTGCAGCTAAACCTGCAGTTAAACCTGAAATAATAATCACAAAAAATTTAAGATTTCACATTTAGTGCAAAGCTTGACAGATTTCATAGGGTATTGATTTCTCCCTTTTTCAGAACCCATTTATCACATGTATTGTCGTTCCATATTTAACCACTGCAGTGGTGACCTTAATTTACTCCAGAAAAATATCATACCAAAATATCGAACTTTTTTTAACAGAAATGATCTAATAACAAATAAAATTACGATGACCGAGTTGATTGGAGCATGATGCAAATTGGAAATGTGAACATCTGACAGTTTGAAAGTTTATAGATGCATTTTGAAGATTTATCACCTATGAGGGCGCCACCACCCACTGTAGCTAGTCCAATCAGAGCGTATCGTTTTCTTTTTTTCTTTTTTTGATTTGTAGCTCGTTCTTTCTTCTGTTCTCTGAAAAAAACAAAGCCAAAAATTAACATCACAAAGACTATTTCGCAAGTCAGACAATCATAGTGTACTTATGTTAAAATACATTTTTGTGGCAGTATGTCAAGTAAGAATATTGTTTATAATAGAATATTCCATCTCAGTTAAATCTAGGTCTAAAGGTCAAATTATGTGCATATAATTATAGGTAGTTTAAAAACAGAAAGTATTTGAACTTTAGGAGGCTATTCAACGGCTCTAAAAACCTGAAAAACAACTACTGTAGAATACTTTATTTTCGCTTGGAATTTATTTTCGCTATTTTCGCTGAAGGCATGATTCCATGAAAATAAAATCTAGCGAATATACTTTTTTTCCAATATTTTACATTAAACTCATCAAAAATCAGTGAAAATAAATTCCAAGCAAAACGCCCAAAAAACCTTTTCAGTGAAAATTAATTCCAGCGAAAATAAAGTATTCCACAGTATAAATCAATGAGTGGCCTGAATTTTAAATGTAAGTGAACAAGTCGATGACACTTCAAGGTTTGCATGTTCTGAAATAAAGCGAACTTATCTGATTGAATTCAACAAGTGGTCACAAATAGGAAAAAAAAAATTATCGAAAAGCAGAAGTGAGCAGGAGGTTGGGCAGAAGTTATTAAGTGATATCATTGCATAGGAGAAAGCCTTGTTTGTGACATCAGGATATAATAAAGTAACATGTGCTTTCAATAAAATTATAAAGGTACTTCTCAAAGCCTAAAATTGAAAGGCTGCTTGATGTAAATTGTTTACTCACTCTGTTTCTTCTTCTTGTTCTTTCAACATCTTGACTAAAACTTCTTCAAATCTTTCCAGATGTCTCCACTTCACCGTCAAATGCCAAGCGACATGAAATATCAAAACTCTCATTCTTGCATCATATTCCCCGCTACCAAGGGCCAACGTCACCAAATCCTGAATTAACATGATATATTAAAATTTTTGTCATTATGAATGTTTGATAAAGAGACAATCACTGTAACTCCTTAGTAATAAATCTCCC